GAAGAAGAAAGTATATTTATTAGTCAGGAGTCTTTGGGTTGCAAGTGACAGAAACCCAACTCAAACCACCACAAGCAAAAATAATTAATTGCTCCACACAACTGCAAAGTCCAGGGGTAGGTGTGCCTTAGGCTTGGTTGGATACAGGTATTCGTAGTGTCTAGGATGCCTCTTGCTGTTTTCTTTGTGTTGATTTCATAATTCCTTCAAAGGTGGCCACCGGACACTCAGACACTCCAGACCTACATCTCCCAGCCTTGCAAACTCCAATTTAAAAATGAGAAATTGGGGAGCCTGGGTGGCTCAGTCAGTTGAGTGTCTGACATCATCTCAGCTCATGCTCTCACGGTTCATGAGTTCAAGCCCCGTGTCAGGCTCTATGCTGACAGCTCAGAGCCCAGAGCCTGCTTCGGATTCTGTGTCCCCCCCCACCCCCGTCTCTCCTCTCCTTGCACTCTGTCTCTCAAAAATAAATCAACATTAAAAATAGAGAAATAAAAAGCATCTCCTTTCTAATAATCCATGGAAAGTCCCAAAGCTAATTATTATCACTGGGCATACTTGGTCAGGTGCCCATCCCTGACCCACTCACTGTGACCAGGGCTATGGACTCTTTCAGCTAGGAAGTGGAGTCAGCCTCTACTCCACATGGACAGAGTGAGAGGCAGGGTAGATCCCATAGGAAGCCAGGGTGCTATTACCAGAATACAGGGGCATAGATGCCAAGCAGGCAAAAACACAGGTGTCTACTCCCCATGGAGTTAACATCATCCTTATTTTACACATGAGGACGGTAAAGCCCAGGGAGTCACGTAGCTCCTGGCGGAGCAGGGATTGGAACTTGGCCTGCTGAGTCCTGGGCCCTGACCTGGACTTCCCCAGGGTCATTCTTTCCTTAGTTTTGAGTGTTGTCTTCTCTGCCCTTTTCTCGTCCCTTCGTCTGGCCCTACAAGGAAGTCAGTCCCTTCCAGTGTGGCATGGCTTCTTTGTCCTCCACTGAGATAACGTACAAGAGGATAATCTTTAATACTCATTATCAAAAGACGAGAAAGGAGACAATGGTGATGGTATTATCATCATGTAAAACCAGCATAGCTCACGCCCACGGTGGTGCACGGGATTTTGATTCGTGGATCTAACCATCCACCTACACTGGTCCAGCGAGCTTTTACTGAGCATCCGCATGCACCGGACCCTGCACAGGGTGCCTGGGCTACAAAGATGGCCCAGACAGGGTCCCTGTCCTCAAAGCTCCCCATCAAGCCTTTGGCTCTCACCTTGTCTCATCTCCCCAGGGTGACTCTGGCCCTAGAGCACACTGCTCCCCACCCAACCCCAGGCCTGTGGTAAACACTTGGTAACTTGGCATCTGGAGACAAGCACATACATCCCCATATCCTGCCCTCAGGCCCTCCGTGTGAGAGTGGGAATCAAGGGGCCCCTCAATCGGGTAACGCAAGGAGAGACACCAAAGGCTTCCACTGTGATTATTCCTCCCAACGTTCTTTTGAGCCCTTTCAGTGCCCAAACCTGCAGACTGAGACTCTGAGACTCGGCTGGGCCAGCTGGGTGTTCACTGCCAGCAGCCGCTCCCATCAACTGCCCCCCTCACCCACCCCCACCCTGCACTTCCCCCGTGGCTGGCCACCTGCCCACCCCACCTGCGGTATCTGTTGCAGCCGACAAGGCCGTCTCCATGCAGCAGGGGCTGTGCTACCGGTCGCTGGGGGCTGGCACCTGCACCCTGCCTTTGGCCCAGAGCATCACCAAGCAGATCTGCTGCTGCAGCCGAGTGGGCAAAGCTTGGGGCAGCAAGTGTGAGAGATGCCCCCTCCCTGGCACAGGTAAGCATCTTGCCCGGTCTCAGCTCTGGCCACCCAGGGGCTTCCTCCAAGCCAGTGGCCACTTTCTCCCACCTGGGCCTCACCTCCAGCCAGAAGACCCTTAGTCTCTTCCATCCTTCCTGCTCAACTCCTTACCCCACCCTGGGTCCCTCCTCCCCCGTTGCCACAATTGCTTGTCCCCCAAAGGGAGGGAAGGGAGGGCCCTGGGCTCCTGCAGGAACGGCACCTCTCAGCTTGGCCTCTGACCCCTGACCTTGCAGAGGGCTTCAGGGAGATCTGCCCTGCTGGCCACGGCTACACCTACTCGAGCTCACATATCCGCCTGGCCATGAGGAAAGCCGAGGAGGAGGAACTGGCCAGGCCCTCCAGGGAGCAAGCGCAGAAGAGCTATGGGACCCTGCTCGGACCAGCGGAGAGGCAGCCACTCCGGGCAGTCACTGACACCTGGCTGGAGGCCGAGACCGGCCCTGACAAGGGTATCTGGGCTGGGGGAGGTGCCTGAGGGATTCCCCTTCTCCCTCAAAGGGCCACTGGGTGTTTATCCTGGATCCATGGCTTCCCAACTCTGGAGCATTAGGGGAGGGAGTTTAGAGCAGCAGCGCCGCGAGCCCTGCTCTCCTGGCCTGGCGGGATGGGAAGGTCTCACCTCCTTCCCTTCCTATATGGGGTCAAAGGTGCCCACATCCCAAGGGTTGCCGGTGGAAGCGGGAGAGGTCAGCCGCAGGCCCCACCCCAACCCATCAGGCCTTCCTGGCCCCTGGCCCCTGGCCCCTGGTCCCATGGCCCTGGCCACACAGCTTCTGGGGCTGGTGCTTGCTTCAAGGCCTGAAGGTCTAGTAGAGAGACCCTGGGGAGTCTGGGCACTGTCGATCCCCTCCCCTGGCCTTAGAATCAGAGTGCCAGCTCCAGCTCAGTCACCTCGGGCCGGGGAGGCACAGGCTGGAAAGAGATGGCCTGAGGCACCCCTGGCAGGAGCCCCAGGAAGCCAGGCTGCAAGCACACCCGGGTCACTGGTAGCACCGAGCGCAGGAGGCCAAGGACACACTAGGACAGGACAGCTACATGATGGCCAAAATTGCTCCAGGAATCTGGAATAGACAGGGAAGTCCAGACAGAGCCCCAGTCATGGGAATTGGACGCTGGCCAGGCCAGGAGCAGCTCTTCTCTTTCTAGAACTGTTGCCCTGGGCCGTAGCCCACGGCAGAGGGTGGAGTGACCTGGGGTGGCTGGTAGGCTTGAGAGGGAGGAGGTGGCAGAACAAAGAGGAGAGTTACATCCAGGACAGATGGGTGGATGGGCCCGGGAAGGGGTGGGACTCCCATCACAGGGGCCTTAAAGGAAGGCAGGAGGCTCCCTCTCACCCAGGGAGCCACGTCATAGGCCCTCCAGACCTGGCCTTCTGGGGTCTGTGGTGGCCAGTCCCTGCAAGGCCAGGAGGGGCAGAGGCTGTACTCTCTCCACCGCTGACCTCTGGGGACAGGTCAGGAGGTCAGTGACTGAAGGAGCCTGGCCGTGGGTGGAGGGAAGGAGGCGGCCCGGCTCTCCTCCCTGAGCTCATGCTCTCACCTTTCCTTCCCAGGAGACTCCCAGGCTGGCCAGGTGAGTGCATCCAGGGATCGGCCAAGCGTGACAGAGAGCGGGGCAGGGTAGCCACTGAGACTGCAGGGCACTGTCCCCTGAAGGAGGAAAGGGAGGCAGAGGGGTTATGTGTGGCGTGTTACCTGGAGAGACGCTGGCATTGGGGTGGGGGGGACTCACCCAAAGACCTAGTTTTACCCCAAGGGAAGTCAGAACATCAGCTCTTGTGCAGGCAGTCTCTCATTTGGGGTGCTCTGGGGCCCCCCTCAGAAAGGAAGTTGGAACAGGTCCTGTACTGCAGCTAAGGTCTAGAACTGGTTCCAGACGAATTCTGGACGCGGCACTTTCTGAGCCTGGTTTGCTTGCACCGCAGGATCTCCCCTGTGGGTGGCTTGTGGGGAAGTAGAAGCAGAGATGTGGCTGGCCTCACGCCCCTTCACTCCCTTCCCTGCACCCAGGATTCCCCCGGGAAGAACCGAATCCTCCCGGAAAGACATCCCACAAGAGTGAACCTGCTTTTTCTCTCGCCAGTCTGCCGGTCCCTACCCTGTCCCCTGCCCCTCCAACCTGCATACCTGACTGTCCCCAAACCCCGTTCCTCCAGTGAGCTGCTTCTCTCCCCAGAGCATCACATATTGTCCTCCCAGACCAGAGTCCACTTCTGCGTCCGCGCAGCCCCCAGCCTTGCTCCTGGCCCGCTGTCGTCCCCTGCCCCTTCTCTCCTCCTGGTTCACCGCTGCTGTCTGTGAGCTGTGGTGAGGGACGCCAGGGATGGCCTGGGGGACTCGGATTCACCGCACTGGTCCTGTGACCCTAGGTAGGCTAGTTGACCCCTGGAGCTTCTGTGACTTTATCGGGGCTCCTAGCATTGAGATGATCATTGAACATTGCTGGCGCGACACAGATCTGGCACACCACATACATCAGTTCACTTAATCGTTACAACCTACTCTCATAGGATAGTTGAGCAGATTAATTCAGACAGTGGACATAAAGCGCTGGCAGAATGCCCAGCATCTAGGAAAAACTCCTCAATGCCTGGAATGAATGAGAGAGTGAGTAAGTAAAGTGGACAGGAAGCCCCGGGGGCAGGGGTGAGTGTGATGGAAGAAAGAACATCAGAGAGGTGACAAAGGATCCAACTGTGACTGTCTCCTCTATTCTGTGCAGGTCACAACCAGTGTTACCCAAGTACCTGCCTGGGTCCCAGGTGAGTCCCTCCTCCTAGCAGCTCCCAGGAAAGAGAGACCGTAGAGTTTGTACCCTGGGCTGAGGCACGGGGCTCATACCAGATGAGGTCGTGGGTGGCGTGACACGCGAAGGCTTTTTTTTCTGGGTGCTCTATACACCTAAGGTGCTGCAAGGTCGGTGAAAGACACCGAGATGTTTTGCGAATATTTCCCTAAACACCTTTCCGCATTTCACGGTGCCACTTAGCATATAAACGAGACCAAAGAGGAAGCACTGATGAAGCAGGGGCCTGTCAGGTCCCCGGAGCCCTTCCCCGGGGGCCTGTGTTCCCTTGGGAAAAGGTTGGAGCTCTGCAGAGGCCAGCTTGCAGAGGGTCACTGGGGTTGGGGACAGGGCACTGTTCAGGGGCTCTGTCTCCAACAAGCTAGCTGGCCTTGGCCAGGTGGTCGTTTCCACGAGCCTGTCTCCTGACCTGTGAAACGGAAGCTGAGACTGGATGTCCTGGCGGACCCATTCGAGCTCTCAGATTCTCTGACTCTATTTGGAACAGACAGATGGGGAGGTCAGGACAGAATCCACCCTAGGCTCCACCCCTGGTTCTCCAGCTGGAACGGCAGGAAGAGGGAAGGGCCACTGCCAGCACCTCTGGAGGGCACACTGTCTGGGGGTGGGAAGGCAGGTGGCCAAGGGGCCATGGCTCATCTGCTCTCTCCTCTCCCCCACCGCAGGCAATGCCACAGAAAGACCAACACCACCACTGCCTGGACAGGAGATTCCAGACAACCCGGAAGAAGAGCGAGTGACCACCCCCCATGACGGGCTGGAGGCCCCGGGCCCCTCAGGTACCTGGCCGTCAGCCTGGCGAAGTGTGGCTGGTCAGAGCCAACTCTGGGGCCTCCTCGCCCACCAGATGAACGGTCTCTAGTGAATTCCTGATCATCTCATCCCAGGGGGCCCCTAATGAACACAGCAGTCCTGTCAGGAGCACGAGTCAAGTGGGGAAGGAGAAAGAGAAGGGAGGCCTCGGAGGCTCCTCTTACTCAGAGACCTTCTAGGAGAACCCGGGGGCCCTCGCAAGGAGCCTCCGGGAGCCTGGCTCCTTCCGGCTGTCGACCCTGAGTCATCTGAGTGCCCCGGCAGCGAGCAGCCTCCTGCCCACGGGGCCGGCCAACTTTCGGGAAGGAAAGTGGTTCTGTTCTCAAGGTTGTTTAACTGTCGGGGAGCCTGAGCTCCCCCTCTCCGGTCGGCTACAATGGCGAGGGGTGCGGGGTGGGGGAGATCCCTGGCAAATCCACCTTGCTCTGCAATGCGCCCTCCTCAAAGGCTCATTGTCTGCAGAACTGCTGCTCCCTGTGCACAGGTGTGCTCACACACGCGTGCCCTCACGTGTGCCCTCACGTGTGCCTCGTCAGGGGCTGGCTGATCTCTTAACCTCACAGACTGAGCTTACGTCAGGGGCGCGAGTATTTCCGGAGTCCTTCCACCAGAGAGAGAGACCAGGCTGCCGGGTGGAAGGAACAGCCCAGAGAGTGTGGGGTGGAGGAGGGGCTGGCCTTCCCAGGCCCGAACCGGGGGTGTCCTGCCACCCTTTCCAGGACCTCCCTCCTCGGTGCTCAGTGCATTGCATCAGGGAGCATCCTTATCCCCCTCTGCTGGGCAGGCAAGATGAGCTGGGTTAAGGGGATCCGTTGGGGATTCTCCGACCAGAAAAATGGTCCTGGAGGCAGGGACAGGGGCGGGGCGGTGGGGGGGGGGGGG